GGACTCAAGGCATCGGACGAAGAATTGGAATGTCCCAAATAGAAGTAAAAGGTGTGCTCCATACACATAACAAGGCTAGAAAACCTCTTTACAATCCTTTTAAAGATGATTTCCCTTATTTTTTAGTGTAAAATTAAGCAAACTATTTCATTAATTGGTGTTTCTAAGCTTGTATTCTTAATCAAATTAATATGTTCTTATTGCATATAAGTTTTAACCAATCATAAATGTCCATGTATGTACAGTCTGGATAAACAAAAAAAATATTTGTTTAACCTTTCTTGATCGGTCACTCATTGAAATTCTGTTGGTAATTCTCTTATAATTTAGATAATTATAAATTACTTATGGACATGGTATTTTTCCAAGTCATTAGAACACCACTACCTTCTATCCATATAAATATTAACATTTTCATTTTCATAAATGAAACTAAGGGAACCCATCTTCAATATTTATGAAAACAAATTATTTTTGTGTTAACGCACTGGTATTGTGTTTTCTTACACCCCAGTAAAGCTTAGTTTAAATTGAACATATTGTATAAATATTATATGTATAAATATCACATTAAGAGCTTCAAATTATAACTCTTAAAGTCCTTACTTTTAAAGGGGTATTCTACTTTTTTGTAAAAAGGTTTTATTATCAAAAACGTCGTAAATTAAATATTTCTAATGTATGCTATCTTCTTTATCAAACTGAATTTGTTTAAAAAGGTTATTTAAAAACGAAGATAGTTGTTTGACCTAGTTTTGGTGTTTCGATTTATAATGGCTCGGTATTATTAGTTGAAATCTTAAGAATATGTAAGGCACATATTTCTCTACAGTACAGTAGTTTTCTAACAGATTGCAAACAGCATAAAGAACGTGAAAACGTTGCGTAATGTTTTTAAATATTTTTGGCGTTTTAATATTTCCGAATGGATTTTATAGTTAATACTTTCAGATAAGTTAAAGGGCACATTTCTTAAGATTTTGGTGTATAGTTTTCAAAAATTTTAGAAAACAAATTTCGACCTACAAAAAGGCGGAATGTGCCTTTAAGTTGACTGTGGGCAACACTAAAAATTAAGCCAGGCCTACTACTTGAACATATATTTGGAACATTCTACAATACGTTATTCCTCGTCTAATTTTAAAAAATGTCAAATTTTCTTGTGTTGCCTCCGATGGCTAAATTAATTTTTACAGCATTTTTATACGCCCACATTTTAATGTGGTCGTATATTGTCGTCGCCGCTGTCCGTCCAGAATTGACTTGTAAACGCAGTAGAGACAAGTTGGACAAGTTCGAATATGACTATCTCTCGTAAAAAACGCTTTTTGAGTTTGCCCTTAAATTATGAAAAACGTGTCAAAATTTGTTTGTGAACACAACATCTACTACAGTTTTCATCCGATTTAAATGAAATTTGGTATGATCATTTATAATGATGAGATCTTAGTGAAGATTGAATTTGACGATTTTTCGATCAACGGAATTTGAGTTATTGCCCTTGATTGGTAGAAAGGCATCAAATTTTGTTGGCTTGTTTACGCAATAGAGGTGACAGTTTATGTCAGAATTTATTTAATAATGTGTGTTTGTTTAAATCAACAATATCTTGACACAGATAGGTGACCGCCCTTGATATACTGTAAATGTATGAGGAAAATGGACGTAACTTGCTTGGAAACCACTTGTTATCCATATTGTTTATTAAGTTGAATTTTCATCTTGGCGGGTGACAATCGAGATGTGTAAATAGTTAGAACCTATACTAATATTCATTTTTTTTTATCAATACGTTTATCAAGTCAAAAGGAGAGGAAACCAGTGTGCACAGAACGCATGTTAGAAGCAGCCACGGGCTTCTATAGTCGGCACGAGGACTGACGAAAACCATTCAAATAATTGAAACAAGAATTTACATTCAGAGGATGCAGTTGTTTTAAATAAAATCTAGTACAATACATCACGATCTCGCAAATACTCAACTTACACTAATTCATCAATAAAAATGTTTTGAATGAATCCTTTCTAATATCATTGAAGTAAGGTAGGATAGACGAGATATCTGGCTTAAAAAGTCTCAATCCAATGGGCTTTCCTAGCTTGACGGAAATTGGTTGTTTCAGTTTCAGGCGCTCAATAGTTAGGGTAAGATTGTCAGATGAAACGTCGTCCACGTTGAAATGATCTATGGAACGTTTACCGCGTGGGTAAATTATTTTTAGATTTCTCCTACATATTGTTTGGGATATTTTTTTTAAAATGAAATTAAGTAAACTAAATTCGAGGTTTCACATGTTAGACGCTTTTGAATAGAATACCTTTTCTTAGTGATATTACATATTAAAATGATTTTTGATATAAAGGGACACTTTTTGACATCTATTTGACTGATAAGGAGCAATCCTTAAGCCTAAGTATTTAGACATAGGATCTGTTCTTAGCTCTTATATTCACTAAGGTGGAATTTCGTAAAAATCGTTTAGTTTCGAGAAATCGTACAGGTTTGGTTATAATCCCTTGATCTTGTGCAAATTCGGTGACCTAATCATACCTACCAGAAACGGTATGCTCTGGGTGAAATGAGCTCTTGTGCAGGAGTTGATGCGTATCAGTTTCCTTAAAATATACCTTAATATAAAGTTTATTCGTTTCTGCTATGGAGTCTCTTTTGAAAAAAAATGGTATCTATAAAAATTATGCTCTCGGGACTATTGTTGGCAGTAAGCTTAATGTATGTCGATTATTGAAAATTTCAAACAATGGGTCAAATGGACAAAGGGTTAACACCTCACGTTCCCACTCTGCCATGAAGGGGCGAAACGCTTTCCCATGGCATTTCCTTAAGTTTGCAGAAGTTTTACCATTAAAAATCATGTAAAATCCTTCCGATTCCAGGAGCTGTGGAATTTCTTCATCGGGTCACAATGACACAACATGAACCCTTTATCATTCTTGATGGCCTATATAAATTTTTTTTCAGTAATTGTTTTTGATTAGGTTTCGTGTGTTTTTCAAGTCAATTGATATCTAATTAGTCGGAAACGTCAGTGCATCTAGGCCATAACCACAAAATACACACCGTATGTGGGTGAAGCTGCGTCTGCGTAACTACACAAAGCCAGATATAGGCGCACGATTCTACATATTTAAAACAAGAAACTTCCTGAAGGAAGCAGATGGAGGTGGGGTTTCATCTCTCCCGTATAAACAACCGAACAAACCTAGAAGTAAATATCCATCTCACGGATGGATGGATCTTTTAGTCAATTATTTCGAAAAAAAAACTCATTAAAATCTGACGCAGGACTTTGATTTTTATTTTGTAAGGGACATGGAATAGCTTTTTGGATATATGAAAAATGATAAACCCGGGTGTTTTATTTCGAGTTACAAAAGAACGAATTCAATACCCAACTAGTGAAAGAAAAAGATCTGTGGCACTTTCAGTCCTGAATTTGAAGCTTTTGAATGTGGTTACATGTTTTTAGTCTGAAAATACCTGCTCACGAAATACGGTCAAGAGATATCACTCTTGGATGCTTCACTTTAGTTCATGATTTGTCATTATTTTTTAATATTTTTACAAAGAGTGTTGAAAGTATTAAAAGTATTAAATTACATTTTAGCTCTTGATCTGTTGAAGAGTTTGCTGTCATGCAAGCAATGGAGGTGGTTGTTGCTGCATTCTATAGTATACCAAGAAAATTGTCGTATGTACTTTGTTGTTCAACCTCAGGAGAAAGATTTCGAAACAAAAGCTCAAATCGTTCGAATAACAAAATTTCGATGTGACTGCTCCTAATCATCGGATATTGTCAAAAACAAAGCTTGTCAGATAGGTAACGTGCACCCAGTGTCAGCTTTGTTTGATCCCTGAAATATTCAATATTAGCAGAATATCGGCAACTTTTCCCGGGCTAACTTTTTCCCTATTGGAGATTTCTCAGTTTTATTATTTTTTCTATATGTGAAGGGGGCCCCAGGTGCATATGTGTGCAAAATTTCAGCTATGTAACTCTTCATGATAAAAAATTATTTGAGTATAAGCACATTTCGTGCAGGCGTCCCTTGTAACTAAAAAAAAAATATTTTTTCTCTAATTGTTTTAATTCGGTTTTAAGTGTTTTTCTCACTCCCTGGGGTCTGATTCCTTTTGGGAAAAACCCAAAGCATGGGCCAAATCGGTTTATTTTGCAAAGTTAGCTATTAGACGTTTTCCGTCTACATGCCCTATAAGAGCAGAATATCGGCAACTTAGTGGGTTTCACCTCATCAAATAATTCATTCAGAAATAAAATTAGTTATTCATTCATGCAACCTAGCGAGTCAAGAGAATTGTTTCATTTATTCAACCAAAACCTAACAAACTGACTCAGCTGAGTTTTTATTGACAAATTTCCTCCTATCTGTATTGACAAAAACTAGCAAATTGACTCGCTAAGTTTTTCCTCAACAAATTTCTTCATGTTTGTGTACGCAAAACTTATCAAATTGACTAGCTGGGTTTTTCTTCAACAAATTTCTTCCTGTTTGTGTTGGCAAAACCTAGTCAAACAAGCCAATCATGGAGTCAATCAAGTAATCTGATCTGTCATGGCGGGGTCAATACAAATACATGCATCTGTTAAAAGATGTACAATAACAGTAATTTAAACTATTAAAATGACCTCAAGAGGGCAGCGAATGGTAGAGCTGGCCCGTAAGAAACTAGACAAGCCTTTAGAAAGCAGGTCAAGGCTGATGAACATAAAATTAAGGCAGATCAACATGCTAGTCTGTGTCAAGCTAATATAGGCCTACATCAACGTCGATGTTCATATACCCATGGTTTTTAGTGTCAGCTGTTCTTCTCTCAAAACATTCTACACATGGTCAAAATTTACTTTTTGAGCAAAATGAACCCCAAAATGACAGTAACATCAAAACGTGAACCCAATAGTTGTTGGCTGCTCAAACACTGTGATATAATTTCATGGGACGGGGCTAAAAGGTTACCAGTGTTGCCAGAATTTGTGATGAATTCAGTTGTGAAAGGTATAGCATTTTCATTGTAGGAAAAGGCATAGAGCAGAATTGGAGAAAAGTGTACACAAGAAAGATAAATACCCGCTTCTTCCAGCCTGCCCTGAAACATACAGAAAACCGTGCCAAAAGATAATTCCCCCTATTAGTCGAGAATCAATTAACAGAAGCTATTGGTCACTCTCAATCGGAGAAAGACGCCTGTGGCTCGATGGTCATATCCTGGTCAAGGAGGTCAAGTCGAGAAAAGCTGCTCAGGATAGATACAGCACGTCCCATAGATGATATACCAACTTTCGACTGAAGATGGATAGAAGGTAACTGTCTGCAAAACCATGTTCCTCTACACACTTGGACTAAAAACAGATGGAACAATTACAGAGTTTGTTAAATCGAATTTGAGTCCCAAAATTCACCAATGGTTGACATTGCCGATAAACGAGGGGGATCAGAGCCAAGTAACAAGTCAGACTTTGGTCAGATCTGTGCCCATATCAATTAGTTTCATCCACAAATCAGTCATTACACTCGGGAGAAAACTCCTAATAGGTGTTATTTCGATTGTAACCTTTCATTTTCAATTACTGACATGCGGAAGGATTTCAACAGTTAGTGGTCCAAGGCTTCCTATCATGTTTACTGGTAAGCCCTCTCAAGATGACTGCAATGTCTGCAAAGACTACAAATCCCACATGCTGATGGTGATGATAGTCAAAACTGTGAAACCTGTCTAAAGGGTGAGCAGCATGAACTATTTGCAGAAAAAGCCAGACGTGCATATCAAGCTGATGCGTCCGACAAATGTCCAGATAACACTAAAATATTTGCTGCTGATATGCAGCTCGTCATTTTATTACCCAGATTAACTACCAAAGAGTATCTGTTTGTAAGTAGGTTAGTTGTTTTTAACGAGATCTTTGCTTCCCTTATTTACAGGAAAAGATGATTATGTCATACTGTGGCACGAGGCAATTGCTGGTAGGCTTGGCATAAATGTTGCATCTGCTTATATAAAGTGCATTAATCTTTCAGCAAAGGATAATGTAGTACTTTGGGCCGACAATTTTACTGGGCAGAATAAAAATTGGACTTTATTTACATCATTGGTAATGTGTGTAAATCAAGAATGGGGCCCCAGAATAGTCACACTCAAATACCTTGAAAGGGGACACACATTTATGAGGGCTGATGTCAATGGAACAATTGAAAATAAAATGAGGAAAGCTGCGGAAATACTCAATTTCCAAGATTTTGTTGATCTATGTGACAAGGCTAGCAAGCATACTAGACCTGTAGTTTTGCACTGCAATGATTTCCACTGTTTTCAAGATGACCATAGAACCCGCCAAAAAAAGAATGTACAATTGCCACTAATTGGTACCATCGTTGAAGTTGAATTGCGTAAAGGTAGTCGAGCAGGTCGAATGTCTAAAGCCAAAGTCTGATATCCCGACATGGTTGTTACACAATGTATTATTAGGGTTGACTAGCAATGGGTGTCGAAAATTCAACTATGGGCCATTAACATCACTGGATATAATTGTTTTATTGAATATCTCCCAGGGAAACAAAATGTTATTGCTGATTTCCTTAGCCGTATGTCACAAAATCCGAATGCTGTTTCCCCCTCACATGATGAAGAACCCGATATCAAAGATCACACCTTCGAAATTAATGCCATAAACTCTAATAGATTTAACCCCGAAAGGCTTTGAGAAATGTGAGGTGTCCCCTGAATCGCCGGACAAAACGGACATCGCTGTTGAGGGTTATGACATGCTCCAAGAACAATCTAAGGATAAGGAAATCTCAAAAATTATCTCACAGTTAAAAGGCGAAAATGAAATGCATTATGGAGCATCAGCACCAAACAGGCTATATGGCTCCAGAATACGTTAAAATAATGAAAAAAACTAAAACAATAAAACACCTATCAATAAAGAAATGTCACATAGTGACAACAAAAAAAGACGATAAAAACCATATCACAGAAAAGGTCATTTAATGACTACAAAAAACAGTTAAAAGGCGAAAAGGAAGTTCCCGCAATCCATAACAAACATCTCCTTATCAATAATGTTCCCTATTACCTTTCTCACGGAGATAGCGAACCCACTCCTCGGCCATATGTCCCTGTTCACTTGAAGAACGAAATTCTTAAACAATATCACGACTTATTTCACCTTGGTATCCATAAAACATACAGCATGATTGATCAAAAATATTACTGGCCTAATTTATATAAGCAAATTTATCAATTTATATAAGCAAATTTATCAATATGTCTCTCAGTGCGTACAGTGTCAAACGCGTTCCCTTAAAAAAATCAAACCGCTATTTCAAGAAACCGACATTCCCCTTTATCCATTTGCAAAAATATCGCTCGACCCTTCTGGCCCATACCCCGTCTCTCTCTCCGGAAACATCACTTCTTTTGTTGACTGGTACAGTTGATGGCCCGAAGCCTTCCCAGTCAAAGATAAATCTGCTGCAAATGTCGCTCATCTTCTTTAAAAGAAATTTTTCCTTGTTTTGGAACGCCCCTTCAATTAGTCACGGATAACGCCATGGAAAACGGGAACAAAATTATACATGAAACGTTGGCAGAATTAAACATGTCATGTTACTACTTCATACTACCACCCACAGAGCAATGTGATGGTAGAACGCTTTCATCGAACCTTCCATGACGTGCTCTCCACGAAAATGGAAAATAAGCTGGATACTTGGGATTTATACCTTAACCAAACTTTAGCGTTTGAATATTAGTGAATCTTCACGTTTCTCTCCATTTTATCTTCTGTACAATCGCGATGTCGTGCTCCCTATCGATAACTTGCTGAAACTGAGACGGAAATATCTAATGGAGGACTTTCACAAAATTGCGTTTGAAAATCAATATAAATCTTTCATTTTAGTTCACCAAAACCTCAAGAAAGCAAAACGTCGACAAGCTCGGTATGCCGATACAAAGACCAAATCGGCTAACTTTCAAGTAGGTGATCCAGTCTGTGTTAAAAATCATTTGCGTACCAGTAAACTTCAAGGTAAATGGAAACCATACTATAGAATTATAGAGCAGACTTCGCCACTTTCATTTATCGTAAAAAAAAATCAACTAGAGCCTTAAGTGCAACGGCGCTGAAGCAGTGCGTTGCATCCTGATAGAAAGATGCAAAGTATTGTTGGACTACATATGCCCCATATTTCATTATAACTTTTAGAGAGGTTTCATGAAACCAGGGAATTTTCACAGATTTTCCTTCTGTTTTTGTATTGTAAATTACAAGAATATATACTCCTTATGTTTCTTTTAAAACTTTTCACTGGTTAACGATACAATTCTAACATAACATTAAAAAGTACTTTTGTAGAATCGATTTTTTTTTGTGTCTCTTTAATAATTAGAAATTTTGAAATATAGGAATCCATGTTCCAACCAGTGCTTTATGTCCTTGGAAATGGTTTTGTAATGTTGCTGGATTGCATGCCTTCCTATAATATTCCAAAATAGGTATGTAATGAAATATAATTGGAAAGGATCTTGTAGATGGATTGAATATAAATTAATCCTGTAATTCCACAAAAACTAAGCGTTGTATAAGTCGATATGTGCTACAACATTAGCGTTTAGTGACGTCATCAAACGCTTAGTTTTAGTGAAATTAAAGAATCACAGACGTCTGGTTGAGTATTGGAATGGTTCAAATTGATGCTATTAGTGTCCCCGATACACGTACAATTTTTAGAAAACATCTTTACTATCTCTTTAAAAAAGGACATGGTATTTTGTCTCAGTCATCCAAAGATCTCGCATACTCTCCAGATCTATCAAATACACTGGAAACAATCATGGTGAGTTTAGCATATTATATTAAAACTAAGATTACTTTATTTTTTTATTTCTCTTTGATTTGAATAAATTATTCAAATGGAGTTCCTCCTCTCGGATTTCCCTGACTCCCCTATCCACCTCTCCTTCTGGTTCTCCTTCAGTTCCACCTACAGCTCCACCTTCTAATGCACTTAAACATATTAAATATATAACAAAATAAGTGCTTAAATTATGTGTTCGGTTTTCGATTACAGTCAACAAGACTTGATGCTGGATAACGACCACAGCGGCTGAGCTAGATGAGTATATGATCGCGGACTTTATGGGATTGTAAATAGGTTTTCTAGTCTTTTTATGTGTATCTTTGACTTATATTTAGAACATTCCAACTCTACGACCGATGCCTGTGGTTCCTGCATTTCTAGAAAGAGTTAACCGGAAATAACACAGCCCCCACAAAATAATTCATAACCAACCTACCACCAGACCAGAATATATAATAATATGACGGATGGACGGACATCGGTGACGCCAATGTACGCGCCACATTTGATGTGGGCGTATAAAAATGATTATATGAATATGCCAATATGTCATGAAAAATCTACAAGACAATTGTAATCTTATTGAAATGACAGGCAACAAATTGCTTACCTCATTTCAACATCTGTTCTTGGGAGCCGCGGTGGCTCAATGAGTTAGACGCTTGTTCGCTAACCTGAAGGCCCAGGGTTCAATCCCGGCATAGGTCGAGATAATACCTTCGGATTTTTCAACCCGGTTTTCCCCTGTCAGTGATGCAGGTAAGAGGGGCTGACATGGAAAAAGCGTCTAGTCGTTCGGATGGGACAATAATCCGAGGCCCCGTGTGCTACAGGCTGTGCACGTTAAAGATCCCTCGACAGTTGGAAATCGAAAAAGAGCAGGCTAATGCCGCTTTCCTGGCAAAATTTCCCTCATCGCACCCTGTATGGCGTTGCCCGTCTTCATTAGCTCACATGGTGCAGAAATGTAGGACGTAAAACTCCATTCATTTGATTCATTTCAACATCTGTTCTTTGTTCTTCTTTGTAACTATAAAAAAAATAACACAGGCTAGTTGGTTAAATTGGAAAAACAGATCAGCCTATAGATTAGGCTTAAGTGAAATTTATATTACCCAAAACAGGTTAAGCTCAGTCTAACCTTTAAAAATCGGACGAAAACAATATTCATAGGCCATTCTACTTAGTCTACATCTTTCATGGTAGTAGGCCTAAGTATTCTTACTGGTATTCTGGTATTTAAAAGGGCAGTATGCATAATTTAATAAATTAGTGATACCTTTAGAATATGTAAGAGACATATTTCTATTTAATTTTGGTATGTGTAATTTGCTTAAATCCGTGCAGTAGTTTTTCAACATCTAGGCTAATCAAAAAACATAATTAATGAACGTTGTAGGCTATAGGTTAAATCTAAGAGGCCTAGGCTAATCTTGACGTTAGAAAAATACCGGGTGGGCAGAATTTTTTCAGTTAAAACTTTCAGATAGGCCTATGTTAAGGGGAATATTTCTCTTGACTATGGTGGATAGATTTAATAAATTTCAGCAAAATAATTTTCCGACTAAAGGGCTCGAAGAATGGTTGGATAGCATCCAACAATATTTTGGGTGATAAAATCCCCCAAAAAATGAGTAAAAATTTTAAAAACTGAGAGATACTGTCCACTGTAGTCGATTACCCTTTTCGTGTCTCTGCTCCGCAAAAACGCCTTTGCCACGATTGGGGAGAGGGCACACATCGTGCCAAGTCTGGGATCTGACGGCGTTTCGTAGAACATGTTTATTAGTGAGCTGAAGGAAAGAGGAAGATCGGGACGGATGGGATACTGCCTAGGCAAGAATTGAGCAACTTGGGACTTGGTGGAGGTCTTGGAATGTCTGGTGCACTCCACGAAATGCTCGGCGTACCTGTGCAGTTTGAGGTCCCTCAGATAGGAGGTAACCTTGTTGATGAGGCGTCTGCCTTCCTCAAGCAAGACGGCCTGATCGTTGACGCCGCCTAGGCGCCGAAACTCTGGTACTAAAACAATATACAATTTATAACAAAAAACAATATCACAGAACAAGAAAATATCACAGAAAAAGAAGTCACTGACTGACTTCAAAAAAATTAATAAAAACAGTATTATAGGTCATACACCACATGGTGATATTAAAAACAAACCGAATATTAAAATCAAACAATGACTTATCACTTTAAAATTTGAAATAAAAATGTATTTGTTTCAGAAATGCAACAACCTTATCATGTAGCGCTTGGTGGTGGACTCTCAACTGCGCTGGGCTTGCTACTGTCACAGCCTCACTCTCGACAGCATGCCTGGTCAGGTCATTTTGGGCAGCTGATACTTATCTGTTATCTCCTTGCTGAGATTGGCGAAAGTTTTTCGGGTGTCGAAGCGCTTGTTGAATTGTCACGCCCAGGCAAATCCTTTTGGCGAAATCTCTTCTGGTACAGCTTGTGGTGGATGACGATGGTGGCTAAACTGTGTGTCCTATTCTTGTGGTCGGAGACGCTAATGAGATAGTTTTCACCATCATGGGCTTTAGTGTTCTTGAAATCGTGTACCGACATGCCTTGTGCCACGCCGGGCCGTTGAAAATTCTGAAGGCAGAGGGAAGTCACCAGGAACTTGGTATAGAATCCGGACTGAACTCAGGGTCGGCCTCACGAGTGTCGTACTTGGCAAAGATGTCAGCCAATTTCTCTTTGATGCGGGGATTGGTGGTGAAGGCCGTCAGGAATGCCAAATAAGCCTGAGTGGGTGTATTCTGCTGGTGCGCCAAACGTCAGTGGGGGCGAAATCGCAGTCGTACTGCAGAAACTTACGGAAGTGCTCGAAAGCAGTGTAAATAGCATCCTCGACAAAGGATGGGGGAGCGTGTTGCAAAAGATGTTTAGCATAAACAACACGGATGGTGGCATTCTGTCCAACCGTTTCCAGTCGATATCACAGAAAGGTCACATAGTGATAACAAAAAAAGACGATAAAAACCATATCACTTTAAAACAAACAATGACTAATCTATTTAAGATTTAAAATAAAGACCTGCTTGTTTTAAAATAGCCACAACCTTCTCATAAAGAGAAGGTTGCGCAAAAAGCTGAAATAAAGGTTTGAGATGCTTACACTCAATCAGAATGTGTTTCACTGTCAGGCGGATCTGGCAGTGCTCACAGACTGGTTGAGGCTCTCGCTTGAGCAAATAACAGTTGGTGAGGTGAGTATGTCCAGGTTTGAATGAAAAGATCCTTGGCTAATGATTAAGTCATCACGTTAGTACTCTAAATTCAACATGCTCACAGGTCAACTATCTTTTAAGGACAGGTATTTATTTATATCATCAGCACATATTTCATCATTTGCACACACAACCAAAGAAGATTCACACAGATAAAAATTGTCCAGTTTTGCAGAGGCTAGCTAGCCATTTTTGATCAACCCGGAAATAGGTTTTGTAGGCGGTCAAAGTTCAAGATCGCCGACCGGCTATAGCCTCTAGAGAACAACACCACCCTATTATAATCTACTGGCCATCTGTGTTTTGTAAATAAACTCACCCATCCAAAATTGTGTGTTATTGTTGTGCTTTAACTTTTATTTGTTTCACCTGTCCGACCGTCAACAGTCCTTTAACACCAACTTCTTCAAATATATTTATTTAATTTTTTTAATTATATTCATTTTTTCTATTCCTTTTTGCACCTTCCAAAAAAAAAAAAATAATTTTGTACATTATAAAATTACTAATTAACATGATCGAAAGAAAGTTTACCATGCAGATTAAATCCGAAGGGGCTCTGCAATCAAACATCAATTCGCAAGACTTTCTGGATATCATGCAGGAAAGAAAGTCCCCTATGACCATCATTAGGGGCTTCCAGAACTTGGGGAGAGCTAAATTTCTGATCTTTGAAAATCTGATTCGAACAATTTCATGCATGGTTTAAACAAGATTCTAAAATTTATAATAACATCAAATTTGAAATAGAACATGCTAAAAACATCCCAGCTCTGAACCGTTAGCCTGATATCATGGTTTACGGTGCACCATACGAGATGCGGAATGATGTAATTTTGACAAAATTACTTACATTCTGTAGTTCTCTACGAATCAAAAGAAACACATTCTCACGCCATCCAAACATCGATACTGGTGTGAGATTTATCTTTACACTTAGCAAAAGATTGCCCTAAACCTCACTGTGTCCCTGACCCAATACCTGCTGCCCAAAAACCAAAACCAGCAGTAGGCAAAACAAGCTCTCAAACGTACGCTGATAAAGTCAGGGGGGGCAACACCAGTCTCTCTGAAATAGCCATAGAGAGCCCTAAGGAATTCCATACCAAACCAGATCCAAAACCCAAGTCAAATCTAATTGAAAGTCTCGGCATCGGAGACAGAACTGAAGCTCTGATGGCCGAAATTCAACAAATAAGAAATGAGTACGAGGAACAAAACATTGCCGAACCAGAAAGGGCAACCTCTACTCCCGTCCGAGACATCGATATTGAGCTCCCCCCAGGTTGGGACGAGCTCAACATCGACGACTATGATCGAAGCAGAGAGGAGATTGATCTTCGAACCGCAGCAGAAAGTCTACAAAGATCAATTAACCGGGCGTCAGAAACCCTAAACCAATCCACCAATACCACCTTCAAAACCCCGGCAAAAACCTCCACTAAACGTCCAATAACAAGCCCTTTCGAAGACAATCAAGAAAAGAAAAACCGAATAGAAGACCCTAGAAAGACTAACCAGAGATCTATCTCACGAGATAGAACTGTGGGTAGTCGGGACTCAAGGGTCAGCAGATGCGTTGCCGGTAAAGTTCAGAAAGACCGGCAGAGATCATCATCACACAACAGAAAATAAAATATCATATCAATGTTTCACTATTTGAAATCAATCTTTCATCCCTTATTAAATTCATACCATGATCATATCAACTTTAAATATTCACCGCGGTTTTGACACAAAAAAACATCAAATTTTAGATTTCTTTAAATTAAACGATTTTGCATGCTTATAGGAAGTTGGAATCGTTACTGATCAAAATTCTACAGATATTTCTACCATCTCTAAATTTAACATAGTTTTCTCCAACGGCACTAATTTAAGCACGGCAGGTGTCGCCACACTCTATTCAAAAGATTTCAAATTAGTCCGTACTTATACAATTCCAAAACTAACTGGTCGCTTTCTGCATTTAGTACTTACCGGTAATGACGTCACGTTTCATATCATCAATGTATATGGCGTGAACGATCATAAAGAAAAAAAGGTGATTTCTATTCTGAGGTCAACACCTACGTCTCTAAACATTTCAACATTAGAGACGTTTTTGTAATATGCGGTGATTTCAACCTCATAGAATCTAAACTAGACAGTAAAAATAATATCATGATCAACCAACCTCTTACTGCATTGAGTCAGCTGCATCTGATGCAAACCAACTGTGTAGTAGAGGACGCCTTTAGATCCAAGTACCCTAGAACCAAACAATACACGTTCCTGAAAGATGCTTCTGGTTCCCGGATAGACCGTATCTACCTTTCTTGCCACTTCTCCAAAAAAATACAAGATATAATCCATCTCAACTCCTTATTCTCCGACCACAAAGCGGTTAAACTCACCCTTAACCTTGGGTCCGCACGATGGGGGAGAGGGAAATGGAAACTGAATAATTCCATTCTGGAGGACATTGAGTACTAGACTCTCATCCGGGAGTTTTGGTCTGATTGGAAGGGTAATAAACCCGACTATGAAGACCAAACCTCCTGGTGGGGGGAAGGTAAAGCCAAAATTAAAACTATCTCGATTAGATACTCAAAAACCAGATCCAAAACTATCAAAGCTGAAATTGAAAACATACAAAATGAAATAAACGAAATTGAAACTTACCTTACTTTAGACTAACAAAATAAAACCCGTCTGGAAACACGGTACTCAAACTTGAAAAAAACAAAAATTAATAAAGGCATTCTGATACGATCCAAGTTGCCTTTCGAGGATTCCAACATTGAAATCTCGGATGTTTCGAAGG